CCGAGGCGCGGGCGGCCGGCTCCAGGGCGGCGGGCCGGCGCCGCGCCGCGTCGCCTTCATCCCGGACCCCTGCGCCTTCTCCTACGCCGACTTCGTGACGGGCTTCCTGCTGCCCAACCTGCCGTGCGTGTTCTCCAGCGCCTTCACCGAGGCCTGGGGCAGCCGGCGGCGCTGGGCCACGGCCGCGGGCAAGCCCGACTTCGAGTACCTGGTGCGCGAGTACGGTGAGCCGGCGGGGTGCGCGGGCCCGCAGCCCGGGACGGCGGGGGACGCCAAGGGTCGGTACCCGAGGACAGCCGGGGCCGGGGCCGCCCGGGGAGCGCCGGGGAGCGGAGGGTCGGTGTCGGCAGGCCAGGCAGGGAGGGCGGCGGTCAGGACTCCTTCCAGGGCGGCCGGGGCGGAGGAGACCCCGGGGCGGTCCTGACCACGGTGGGCTGTGGACGTCCCGCCTGCCGGGGGCTCGCCGTGGCTGGCGGAGGGTGGGCTCCGTGGCGGCTCCGCCATGGCCGTGTCGCCCCTCTCGCCGCAGGAGACGTGGTGGTACCGGTGGCCAACTGCGGGGTGCAGGAGTACAACTCCAACCCCAAGGAGCACATGCCCCTGCGGGACTACGTCACCTACTGGCAGGAGTACATCCGGCGCGGCGGCTCCTCCCCGAGGGGCTGCCTCTACCTCAAGGATTGGCACCTGTGCAGGTGTGGCCCGGCCCAGAACCTCGAGCCCGGCTCTCGGCAGGATGCCAAGAGTGCGGAGAGGAGCTCCAGGCCATGCCCGGGCGGCAGGCCGGCTCCTCCCGAAGGCGCTCCCCTGCCCGTGCTGCCTGAGCGCCCTGCGCGTGTGTGCTGTGGGCTCGCCCTTTCTGCGTGGTGATCGCCCAGCTTCCTGTTGAAGCCCAGGGCCTGGCTCTTCGCTGTCCCTCTGGGGAGCTGGGCTGTGGTCTCCTGATGTCCTCCTGCCCCCGCTGGGCGCTCCGTCAGGCACCTGGGCTATATAGCATGGCCAGGTTCTTGCCCACCGCGCAAAGCCACTCTACGGAGGCCCTCCGTACCCTCCTCGTCACCCTCACCTGCCGTGTAGGCTGGGACTCGGGATGCTTGACTCCAGGGTTTCTGACTTGGTGACAGTGCCCAGGTGCTGTGCATTGAGCAGAAACTGCAGACTTCGAATTTTGCTTTTTCTCGGGCTAGCAGTATGAGGTCTGGTTTTCTCTTGATGCTAGGCAGTCATGAACCCTGGTCCCGTCAGCTGCAACATGCTGACGGGAAGCGGCCAGCGGTATGCATGGAGCTTTCTAGTAAATTCTAGTGGTTGGCCCATCAGGTGGGTTGCTTTCTTTTTCTTCTGGTGCTGGAAGTTGGACCCAGGGCCTTGCTGGGGCAAAGCACACACTATTCTAGTGGTTTGTTAAATTAAGTGTTTTCAACACGTATATGTCAGGGTGGAAGCCCATGCTAAGTTTAGGGACATCTGTACTTCTGTCAGGAGCTTTGCCAACCCCTAGGCCCAGCCCACATGTAGGAAGTGCGCCCACATCTCTCCCAAGCAGCCTGGGATTCCTCCCACCGCCACGTGTGCCTCATGAGTGCAGACCCCAGCAGCGCTGTTGGGGCAGGGGTGGGTAACAAGCGAACCGTCACAGGACACAGGCAGGACAAGGAACTCGCGCCCCTCATGGCCACGGCCGACCTGGGGTCATGAGTTGCCCCCGCCCCTTACCCCACACACAGCTGCTTTCTGGGCAAGAGCTGGCCCAGGACGGGGCCAGAAATAGGGACCAACAGACCCGGATGCCGTTGTGTGCCGTGCTTTGGGGGCTTGGGTGAATGATGAGTGTGGTTTTTTGTCTCCTGGCATGAGTACTTCCCAAGCATTGCATGGAAGGCACTTATGCTGCAGAATTGCTCATTGTGTGTGTGTGTGTGTGTGTGTGTGTTTGTTTTTGGTCTTTGTGAGATAGGGTCTCACTTATGCAGTTTAGGCCAGCCTTTAGCTCACTCTGTAGCCCAGGTGGCCTCGAACTTGCAATGATCCTCCTGCCCCCAAGCGCTGGGATTACAGGTGTGTGCCACCACGCCCAGCCTCCCATTATGTGTTTGAAATTCAGTTTTTGACTGTGTTCTGCATCTTATCTGGCAGCCCTAAAACTCACAAGGGCAGAGGAAGGAATAGAGACCACTGAAGGCATGACACCGAGCAGGGTTTCTAGTGGGTGAACAGAGGCTCGGTGGCTGCTCAGCGTGGCAGAGGGAACCTGTGAGTGGCTTGCTGCTGAGAGGGCTCTGCTCCGCTACCCTCTCTGCTGAGTTGGGTGTGAACCCAGGCAGTTGAGCTGTGCCAGGGGCTCATCTGTCTGGGAGCCTATGGTGGGGTCCGGAGGGGACACAGGCTCTCCTCAGCTGGGTCTTGCCACATCGAGCCCACTCGGCAGAGGCCTGCAGCTCAGGAACTGGCCTGCTGCCCACGATGATGCCCGTGTCACCTGCTGCCAGACCTCTGAGACCGGGGGCGAGGGGCCCTGCCTCCATGGGTGGGTTATGTCGGGTCCCAGGCCACCCGAAAGCTGTCTTCCGTGCTGCAGACTCGGGGTCAGCGATCTGAGGGGCTTTGGCTCAGGCCGCTGGAGCTGCTAGGCAGCTCCACGGGTGAAGTGCGCTTGGGCGGTGTGGAGTGGCGCTGCTGCAGCTGTGCGCTCCACAGGGGCTGCTCTGCAGAGGACCTGGAGGACGTGTTCACGCTGCCCGTGTACTTCTCCTCTGACTGGCTGAATGAGTTCTGGGACGTCCTGGGTGTGGACGACTACCGCTTCGTTTACGCGGGGCCCAAGGGCACCTGGTAGGTGAAGGCCTGCGCGGGGCAGGAGGCCTCCCCGTCAGAAGCAAGGCTTCACCCCAGTCCCACAGGCCACAGACTGGAAGTTGTCCCGCAGGTCGCCGTTCCACGCCGACATCTTCCGCTCCTACAGCTGGTCAGTTAACATCTGTGGGAGGAAGAAGTGGCTGCTGTTCCCACCGGGGCAGGAGGAGGCCCTGCGGGACAGCCACGGCAGCCTGCCCTACGACGTGACTGCCCCTGCGCTCCTGCAGAGCGGCCGTCCGCTGGAGGTCACACAGGAAGCCGGGGAGATGCTGTTCGTGCCCAGCGGCTGGCACCACCAAGTGCACAACCTGGTGAGGCGGGCACGAGTGGTGCTCCTCTGCCTCGCCCCTCCCCGCTGCCCTGCTGCCCCTCCTCGCCCCCTCGCCCATACGCTCTGAGAGGGCCCCTCCCTGGGCCCTCATCCCTGTTGGGCTGGCCCCGTGGGGAGGCGGGGGTGGCCTTCCCCGCTACGGCAGGCTGAGCACGAGCCCGTTCCCACACCGCCATGCAGGGCGCCAGGCCGGGCACGGGGCCGTGTGGAGTGTAGTGCCCCGGTGGGGAGTGCCCCTGCCGCAGGCTGGTGGGCCACCTGAGCCCTGCCCTGCAGGACGACACCATCTCCATCAACCACAACTGGGTCAACGGCTGCAACCTGGCCAACATGTGGCACTTCCTGCAGCAGGAGCTCCAGGCCGTGCAGCGGGAGGTCGGCCAGTGGAAGGACTCCATGCCTGACTGGCACCACCACTGCCAGGTGGGCGGCGTGGTGGGCGGGGGGAAGGCCAGGCCGCAGACTCAGGCTGCTTTGTCACTGGCCGTGGTACCTCTGTGATGGGTCCCCAGCTCGTCCTTGAGGACTGGGCTGCATGTGGCTGTGACCATGTGCTCACCCACCTCTCCTTTCTGGCCTAGGTCATCATGAGAGCCTGTTCGGGGATCAACTTTGAAGAATTTTACCACTTCCTCAAGGTCATCGCTGAGAGGAGGCTCCTTGTCCTGGGCCAGGGGGAGCCGGGGCACGGCGCGGGCCTGGGGCTGGGCCTCCAGCAGGCTGTGTTTGACATTGGCCGCCTTGCAGAGGTGCTGGCCTCTGTGGTCGCACACCCTGACTTCCAGCAGGTGGACACCAGCACGTTCTCGCCGCCGCCCCGGGATCTGCTGAGGCAGCTGCGGGATGCCCTGGAGGCTGCTGAGGCCCTGTAGTGCCCGCAGGCACCAGAAGAGGGCAGCCTCGCTAGAGCCTGCTTAGAGGCCTCCTCGCCCGATGGCTGGGCAGGCCCTGGCCCCTGGAGCAGCGTGGGCCCCGGGCAGGTCCCTTTAGGTCTCCCTCCTGGGGATCTCTGGGGAGGTCCAGCAGGGGTGGGCCTCAGCCACTGTTGCACCTGGGATGCTGAGGCGTCTGTCCCTCCAGCCTGCAGTGAGCCTGCCAAGGACTCAGGTTGTGGCCGTGTGATGAGCCCGCTCGCCGCCCCACAGCCTCCTGAGGGTCCGACATCCTGTCTGCTGGCCTGGGGCTCCCTGTGTGGCCGGGCTCCCTCCAGGTCACGGGCGCACATGGCACCGTCCTCTGCGTCCCCTAGCTCGACCTGAGGCTCCAGCCGCAGGAGCCGGGTGCCTGTGCAGGTGGGGGCTGCTTGTTGTGCTGGGCGCTGTCCCCCCCACCGGCGAGTGCGTGGTGTGCAGCTGGCCTGGCGTGGGGCCCAGCATGGTCTGTGCTGTGGCCCTGGGGGCGCCCGTGTCTGCACTCTGCACACGGGCTGTTGCCATGCACACAGTGCCATTCCCAGCCCACCCATGGTGCCGGGCACCCCGTGCCTCTGGTGCCTGTGCCCCTCGCACCGCATCCGCAGCGGCAGGCGCAGCTGCGGGCAGAGGCGTGAGGCCCCCGTGAGTCGCTGCGCACTTGCCCCGACCCTGGCCTCGAGAGAGTGTGGTGCGCAGGGAGGGCTGGGGTGGGGTGGATCCCTCAGGGCCACTCCGAGCCCCAGCGCTGGGGCTCCTGGGACCCATCTGGAGTGGGAGGCGTGGGTCTGCCCGGTCCCTCGTGGCTGGGGCCTGTCTCTGCCGGGGGCCCTACAGCGGGGGTGGCAGCCCCACACACGTGCGGTGATGTCCTTGGGGGCAAGTGTGCGAGCCCAGAAGGGCAAGGGCTTGTTCTGTCCAATAAACGATGCTAGGTGCCTGGGAAAGCGGCTGTGCCGTGTGCCTCACGGTGTGCCACCTGCTGCCTGAGCGGCGGGCGCCCTGCAGCTGGTTGGAATTGCAGGCCTTCCTGCCGGTGGAAAGACACTCTGCACGCCCCCATGTGTCCAGGAGCTGTGGCCCAGGGCCTGGCACTGGGATGCTCCCCTCACCACCCTGGTAGCCCTGTGTGTGGTCCCCCGGGGATGCTTTGAGAGGAGCTGCCTGAGGTTGCAGCTGCTGCCCTGGTGCCCAGGACCCAGCTGTGGGGTGGCACTCGCCCTGTGAGCTGTGGTCTTGTGTGGGCCAGGTGGTGGCACAGTCAGTACATCAGGAGAAAAGCAGGCTGGGCCAGTGCCAGGAAGGTGGGCACCAGGGGCTGCACCAGCCTGCCTGTCTGCCCTGACTGTGCATAGAGAGGGGTGTCCTGCTCATGGGGTCACTGAGGAGCCGCTGGAGCTCAGTCTCTGGGGCCACAGGTGGGACGTGTGCCCGGGAGAAGAGGCTCGGTGTTGAAAGCGAACCTCGCAGAACATCAGCTCAAAGCTGGCCAATTAATGCTAGTGTTTTCTGCTCGGGCCTTTCCCGAGAGCACTGACCCCGTGCCTGCACAGAACACTCCCAGGTAGAGAAGCGGAAGGGGAGAAAGCTCAGTGAGGTCCCAGCACCAGCCTGTGCCACCCAGTCCACAGCTGGCCTGAGGAGAGGAGTCGGCTCCCCGTTTAGAGACACGTGGCTCGGGGGGCCAGCTCCACTCACCCCTGGATGCCAGGCGGGCAGCACCCAGGGCCAGATGGTGTGCAGGGCACTGATTACCTGACATGCCCTGCCCAGAGATCAGTCTGACGTGACACTGGCTGTGCGGGGTCACCGTCACTGATTCCTAGCAAATACAGAGTGAGCCTGGAGGCCGTGCAGGAAGGGGCCTCACGCATAACCACAGGACGGCAGCTGTCCGCGCCAGGACCGCTGCTTCCCCAAGACAGCCACAGCTTGCTGTGGAGGGTATTTCTGTGGGGGCCTGTTCTCGATAACTGCCCAGGCTTGGACTGGCACTCACCTGATTACTGATCCTTACAGCCAAGAGCTGCTGTTTTAAAGTACGTAATCCTAACTTGGCTTAAAATTCCTTGTCACAGAGACGCAGTGCTCAATAGCCACAACTTAAAAAGAAGCGGTTTATTTTAGAGGATTGGCTCCAGGGCCAGCTGGTGCCAAGGGAGGGCAGTGACAGTGGAAGGGCCAGTGAAGGAAGTAGGGAAGCCAGGAAGGGCAGCCAGGAAGCAGGTGGGCACAAGGAGGGAGAGACGGCCTTCTGCCTTACACCCGACTGACATGTGCCTACCTCCCAGCCCTAGGTCAGCCAGTGGCCCTGTGATCAAATCGCCTTCCAAAACTCCACCTCCAAGCCTTAGAGAACATTCTAGATCTAAACCGTAACGTTCTGCCCCGACTCCCAACAGTCACGTCCAACTCACTGTGCAGAATGCACCTCTGAGTCCACCTCTGAGAGTGGTCACAGTTTTAACAGGGCCAGCATCATGGAAGTCTTAAGTCCCAAGTGTCTCCGAGGTAGGAGTGTGGCGGAGGGGACAGGGGAGGACAGCTGCCCACTCGTGGTGGCCCAGAAGCGGAGAAGGGAGGGATGGGAAGGAGACGGACCCTTTCGGGCCACGCTCCTTGTGACCCGCTCCGACCAGCCCTACCCTCAGCAGCAAGTTGGCTGTGGTACCCACATGGTGCAGTCACCTTCCAGATGCCGCACCTCTGGACACACGAGACATCTGGGGACACAATGACCCTAAACTGTGACACACACCCTTAGTTTACCAAGGGGCATGTGTTCCTCTTGCGACCAACACGGCTATTCCCAAGGAAGTACCATTCTGGAGAGTTTTTCTCTGATCGTTATTCACATCGACAGTTCAATATGGTGCCTTCTGAACCATCCCATCCTGGGAGTGCATCTGGCAGGGATGGGATATCCAAACCCATGCAAGGACTCATGTTTTGGTCCATGAGTCAGGAAAGGCTGTGTTGCCAAGGTTACTGGTCTCCCTCCTGCAATTCAGTGCCACTGGGTCCATCCCAGCTCCTGACCTGGAAGGGAAGGTGCAGGTAGCAGGGTTGTGGAGACATGGATGAGCCCCTGCCCTTCTTGGGTCAGAACTGAGGGCATGAGGTGTGGGATGAGTTAGGTCCTCACCTAGGAATGGGACTAAGAAAAATAATCACATAATGCAAGGATGCTCGTGGCTGGACGTAAAGTGAAAGCAATACAGTAATCCCCCTTAACTGTGGTTTCAGTTCCCTTGCAAACCCTGGTCCAGAAATAAGTGAAAGGGGAAGAGGGTACATTCATGGAAAGTTTTATTACAACGTACTGTATTATCCCATTTCATCACGAGTCTTCATCTCTTTACTGCCTTGTCTATAAGCTATCACAGGTGTGGGTGTATGGGAACAGATTACATGGGGCTGGCCTTAGGCATGGGTCTAGACGCCCGCTAGCGGCGGGGCCAGGCTGCTCACTGACAAAGGGGGCAGCTCTGTGTGGGAAGGTGAGTGTGTACCCTGCCACGGTCGTGCGGGCACACTGACTTCGAGGCGCCGAGGAAGGGCGCTCACAGCACTGAGAACTGACTTCTGCAAAGCCAGCTAGGCTGTTCTTGGGGGTCCAGGCCTTGGATCCCTTTGTGCTGACAAGCAGCCATTGCCTGCTCATGCCCGGCCTGGGCACCTGCACGCTCGAGGCAGGGAAACCGCTTCCTGACCGGCCCAGGACCCTCGGCTCCTGGGCACTGCGGCCCCCATGGGGAAAATGCCCTTTGCTCTTGCGGGTGGCCTTTTTGATCTAGAAAGCAGTGGTACAGAACTATATGTACGCAATGTGTTTGTGTTCCTGTAACATACAGAAATGTTTTCCTGCTAAAAGTCTGAAGGAGGTGGGTGGGAGCAAAGCATGCAGGGTTGAGAAGATGATTCTAGGTGGTTACCAAGGGCTGATCAGGCCCTCGGATACCTGTGGGGGCGACAGGGAATAAAGACAGACAAACTTCAAGGTACCAGGGACTGGGAGTTCGCCTCTAGTGGACTGGCTTGGCTACCTTTGTGGCTGGTTTGCTTTTATTGGCCAGCAAGAAGTGCAGGGGGAGGGATAGCATGTGTTCCATGGATCTGCAGAAAGTGGGTGGATAGGGATTAAATTAATGAAGAACCAGATTTTCTCTGAGCCCAAATGCCTGTATTTTGACAACAGCAGATGCTACCTTGCCTTGAAATTGCCCAGTTATTAGTATTCCATTCATAGCCAGGGGTACGTGGCCTTCCTGTTCCTGAAGCAAGGTCACACTGACCTCGGGACTGGTAGGGGTTAAGTCACATAGTAACCTGGTCCCCAACAGATGGTGACTCAGACCTTTCAGTCAATGAAAAGAACCATGACTGATAACAAGGCTAATACAACAAAGCCTAAATATAGCCTTGCTGTTTTTTTCTCTCTCAGCTCCTTCAAAAGACATAAAATTGTAGAAAGTAATAGCTGAGTTATATTGAACTTATAATTTTTACAGATGTATATATATAACACACAAAAACGTGTATAGAAAGTAATTGAAAGCCGTATAGGGCTATAAAGCTATATGAAGAAGGATGAAGAGTTATGTAGGGCAATGTTTTGGATTTGGGTTTATTTTTTTGACACAGTCTTGCTATGTAGTCCAGGCTGGCCTTGAATTCACTTATGTAACCCAGACTGGTCTTAAACTCATGGCACTCCTCCTCCATTAGCCTCCCTAGTGCTGGGATTACAGGCCTGCACCATGCTTGTCCAGTGGTAATGCTTCTATATTTAACTGGAATTGTTAATTTGAATACACAGTTGATTCCGATAAGATGCACTTGACAGGTCATCACTAGGCTATGCATACAATGTCATGCGGCAAGATCATTGAAGAAATGTGAATGCTACATCAGAAAATAGTCACTTATTCCAAAAGAAAGCAGTAAAGAAAAATAGAGTAAAAAGAATGGGAAAAAAAATAGAAAACATAGAATGGCAGACATAAGTCCAACTATCAACAACAACAGTAACATTAAGTGTGAGTTACTGTAATCCAATCAAATGAAAAGATTGCAGAACCAAAAAATCTCTCTCTGAAGTGTCTTTAGATTAAAAGGTACAAATAAGGGGCTGGGGATTTAGCTCAGTGGCAAAGCGCCTGCCTGGCAAGCGCAAGGTCGTGAGTTCGGTTCCCAGACCGGAGAAAAACCAAACCAAAAAAAAAAAAAAAAAAGATACAAATAGAGGGCTAGAGCTGTATCCCAGTGGTAGTATTTGCCTAGCATGGTCCCCAGCAGCACACAAACTCAAAAACAAAACAAAACAACCTCCAACCAAGTAGATGAAAGGTGAGTTCCACATCTGTGTATTCAACCAACCATAGATGGCAAATATTCAAAAAATTCTGTAAAGTTCAAATGAAATTTGAATTTGGCATAGGCAGAGTAAATGTGCTGAATCCATGAAAATAAAGTGATGTGTGCATTGCATTATTATAAGTGATCTAGAGATGGTTTAAAATCTAGGAGAGTGGGCTGGGGATGCACAAGCACCTGCCTGGCAAAGGTTATGAGTCTGTTTCCTAGTACCACATAAAAAATAATCTAGGAGATGTATGTAGGTTATGTGCAAATACTAGACCATTTTATTTTATTTTATTTTTTTGGTTTTTGAGACAGGGTCTCGCTCTGCAGTTCAGGCTGGCCTTGAGCTCACTTTGTAGCCCAGGCTGATCTCAAAATCACAACAATCCTCCTGCCTCGGCCTCCTGAGTGCTGGGATTACAGGCATGCGCCACCATGCCCAGCTAGACCATTTTATGTAAGTGACCTGACCATCCATGGATACTAGTATCCTGGAGCTGCTGGGGGCAATCTCCTATGGATATCAAGAGATTACTGTAACAAAAATAAAACAATATTATGGTCTCAAGATGCATCCATTTAC